ATGGAATTTAAACTATTTTACCATATTTCACTATGTTTTTTATTTTGATGATAGCGTCGTCATTTCTCAATAGAATTCAAAACTTCCTTACGCGAAAATGATCAGCGAAAAAAACTCTACATAGTTTGCGGAAAAAGAAAATTTTCTGAATACTTTGTGTACTTGTATTTGACACCCCATGGAACTACCCTGCAGAGACCTAAATACCCCTTATAGGAAAAACCGACAAAAAAGGGATCAGATCCAGACAAACGGATGTCAGATTCGTGATCTAGGTGACAAGGACTTTCGTATTATGGCATTTCCAGCGTGCGTTAAAAATAGTCATTTTTGGATCATCCCCTTTAATGAATATTAATTTTAATAGATATTTACTCGAGAATCAATGGTCGATAACAAGAAAGAAGTAGAAGAACATTAATAAGTGGAGTATATGATTTATTAAAATCATTGCGTGTACGAAGCCAGACAAGCGTAGCCATCGACAGATAATGAATCTATTAGAAAAATATGAATATTTTTGTTTTTCTCGAATGTTGAACTTACAAGAGTAATATTTGATTCAAGACTCATTTGAATATATTTCCAATCAAATTCAATACCACGAGCACCTACCCATAATGGCAAACATCTATTTAAAAAAATTTACAGATTGAAGAAAATTAAGAAGAAAAAGAAAATAAACCTTGTAACAATAATTTCAGCGGAAGTCCATCCAATAGCTGCAATTAAATATTTCAAATCTGTTTTACCACAAATGCGTGTTATAACAAAATGTAAACCGACTAGATCTAATATATCAACTGTATTTTTTAAGAATTCCTATAAATATTATATTTTTCTATTTCTAGAACAAAAATATAAATTATTCTTACTGTTTGAACAACAAATACCGATGATTCATCAACTGGCGGAAAAAAAGTAGCTATAATCAGCATTTTAACAAATTGAACGAATAAATAAAAAACTGCCGATTGAACACATTTCCAAAATGCATTATATTCAGCTCTAAATAAGAATTGAATACACAAATAATATATAGAAAAGTTAATGTAATACTTACAAACCCGAATATTTATATGTTAATAAAACTGGTCCACAAGCTAATGCTAAACAATTGCCAAAATGAAAAAGAGGCATCTAAAATATATAGAACATATATATAAACAAATAAATAATTAAACATTTGACTAATTTTGTTTCGTTTGAAGGGAAATTTTTAATTTCTGCTTATACATATTACAATATAATTAGAACTCATGTTGAAATACGTTTTGTATGATCTCTAAAATACTTAACTTATATTGATACTAAAATTTTTTAAATGAGTTACTAAGATACTCAGTCTGTAAATGAAAATAGGTTTGATGATAATATAGATTATAACTATAATCTAAAAATGCAGCAAAGTGATCTATTCGATTTAATTGATAGATATTATAAAATTCTATGCAGATGATAAACTCGACCTTTGGTTTATTTCTCGTAATTATATTTACTATCAAGCAATATAAATTATTCACCTATGAAAGAAATGAATCAGATGAGACTAACGTTGATGATGTATTTCATGATTCTTGCGAGATAATACGCAAGTGAATAATATCATCATAGATTATTCTCATTTATTTATATCAGAAGTGCGAATGAAATACAATAATAAGTATTCTGTGATCTTTCAGACACTAATAGCAATCAAATAATAAATTAAAACAAACTTATCTTAACCTCCTATTATTTTATGTTTCATTTGCTTGATATTTTACTATTCTTTTTATGTATAGTTGTTTCAAGAGCCATTAGAATTATACTAGTATTTATAATAGATGACGCTACTCGACTGATACTATTCATTCGAATCATATTAATACTTATAAAAAAATTTATAAAACATGACTGAGCATTATGCTTTATTTTAATATAAAAAATTACATATGATAATCTGTAGCAGATAGGTATAAAGAACCATTGTAAAGTTTAATACAAGAGAGAAAAACACCATCAAATTAAATTATTGAATAACTTTGCTGGATTTTATAAATACTGTTGGTATGATTCCATGTTTCAAAATACTTATATTGTTATCGATGATGGCGTGTCAGTGTTATCTTACCATAAGTTGATGCTCGTTTGGATGTTGGATCCAAGAAATATTTTCGCAATGATCGTATAATGATAAAATATCTATAAAGAATTGATTTAGTAAAAATGATTAGTATCTTTTTTTGGTGACGTACATAAATATTTATAAACTATGATATTCGTCTCGATCAATATATATCTGGGATAATCAATATATGAGCAAATAATGTCGGCTAATGTTACTGTGAAGTGCTCGCTCTATTGTCTTGAAATTTCAAATTAAAGTTTCTTTGTCTTAATAGAACTTAGAAAAGTATACTTACCGATTTTTTTTACGCTTTTGAGATTTAATAAATTGGTTCTCGCTCCTGATTTTAAATGAGGAATATAAGTAGAATACTCCTTGCGTTGACATAGTAGAAAAAATTAACATGATCAAACAACTATATATGGGTGAATTGCAACTTTTTGGTGCAATTGATGCGAAAAACTGAAAGTAGACCTAGACAATTTCTGATCAGTGCATTTTTATTATACTCTATGCCTGTGCTATACAGTAAAAATTTCCCGACACTTTACCGCAAATTAGCTGAGATACGACTTACTCAATGTAAATGTACCATAAAAAACGTTATTTTATTGAAAAACGTCACTCTACATTTTTCAGTATAATGTAAATTTCTCGAGAACGGTACGGGATCAAAGGCTGAAATTTTTACCACTAATAGAACTTTTTGTTTTATACATTCTCTAAAAATTTGAACTGAATCTGACAACCCGTTCACGAGTTGTAAATAAGACCATTTTCATACCGTCACTCTACAAAGTGAGTAAATATCTTTTTTTTTTAGAAAGTTCGGTTTTTTTTATTTGAAATAAACTTGATAGGAGAGAACCTTTTCACATCAGTTTTCTAATTAAAGTGTTGGCTTTCTTTTTATATCATCCGCGCGCTGCCAGCTCTATCATAGGATGAGCTAGAACCGTGTTTGTGTCACTCTACATAAAAACGAACTAATAGTATTTAGAAAGATTTACTATTATCATATCATTCCATACTTTGATTACAAATTGATCAATCATAGAGACAGCTATTGCTTTGTATAAGTAGTTGTCTCATCGTAGAAGACATGACGCCACATACACTGGTGTGCTTAGCTCCATGAAAATATCCTCTTTTAAACCACTTGAATTGTATAATTTTTTTCGTTTTTAATAGGAGCCATGATTTAGTTGACATACTTGTAGATTTTTCATCAGTAATATTGTCAGTTTGATTATATCGAGATATAAATCAAAAATGTTTACAAACATATTCGTCTTAAGAAAATGTTTTTATAGTGACGCTCGGAGAACAATAAACGATTTTGGTGATTCAAAGTTCAGCATGCCATTTCTTTCGTGTGTAGCCAGAATAAGCTGTGATAATTAAAACAAGTAACGCTCATCCAAGGACTCGCTTAGCTCTTTCTCGTAGAAACCCATTTTCTTCACATTTCCTAGAAAAACGAATGTAAATCGCGAAAAATTGATTTTTGATGTTTCTCTGACCTTTGACTTTCTTTATAAAAACAAAGTATAGATGATGATTATTAAAACTACATTATAACTAACAATATTGATTTTTTTTTCTAATGTTTTAAATCTATTATTAATCAGACAATACAATTACCTAAAATAATTTGTTGATAATTTATTTTATCTGTGATTTAAGTTATAAATTGATCGATAAAAAATTAATTTGAAGATAGAAAATTCTTGTTTATGTAAATGTATCATCCACATAGTAATAAAAGATTTGTTTAATTATTAATTTACATTTAATATAAATATCGTATTTAATAATACATATTGTGGTGTATGACCTACATTATTATCATTCGTATTTGTGATATATGATCTAGTTATTATCGTTCGCTTTCTTTTAGTCTTTCTTTCTTTTTCTATCGAGGTCGTTAATATATATGTCATATATATGTTTCTTTGTTCTTGTGTATTCATTAAGATTATTCTCTATTAGAATAATCTTTGTTATTGTCGAGGGATATCCTATTCTAGAATATTCCTTAGTATACCTGTATTGCATCATATATATAGACGTGTTTGAAGTAGTTTATTTTATCTAAATAAATATCATTTAACACTCGACTTCAGGACGTGACACATATAGATCAATTCAAAATATAAAGTTTAGTATATAGATCATTTGAATTTCGTACATATCTATTTAGTAATGAAATATTTCATTCACTCTATATTGTTCACCTCCGTCACGGTTGAATTGTTTCTATATTCAACGTGGTTTTTTTTTTTCGTTTTCATTCTTGACGATTTCTACAGAGCTGTCGTAATTTTTGACTATTGTGTGATCGTCAATTATTATTTTGACATTTAATATGTATCCTTCATGAAAATAGAACAATGAATATTAAACCAATGATATTTTATAATCTGGATTATATCTTTACATGTAACTATGAAAAAAAGGACAAATATGCGTACTAATATTTTCGTGTCGCGTATTTTTTGTTATTCGTAATTGAATAAAGAAAAGGTAAAACCGACGAATATACGAAATGACAGCAAAGGGTTAAAAGCAAAAAAACAACGTTAAAAATATAGAACGATAATTTTTCGTTTCTCAATATTTGAGTGAGTGCTTAATAACATCAAAATAAATAACAAAATTACCTTTTTTTTTATCGTAGAAAGACGTAGGCTCTCTCCAATATATACTCTCAAATTATCATACACCTCCATTTAATATAGAAAAAAAAATCATTTTTTTTTCTTTTTGTTTCTCTTGTCTTGAAGCATATATATAGTCGATAAAAATACATTAAAAAATCATAAACGTCGGCTTTTCATTATATTGAGTTACTCGATAAACAATCTTTATTATTACCTGAACGAATACGATGCTTACTAAAGCAAGTACAGTATGCCTTGCGGTATTTATGTTAGCTTTAGCAACAACTTGCAATGGAAAATCAGTTAAAGATTTCCTAGCACGAAATTTTGACGACTCAGATGAAGAATCAACACTCGTTGCACGTGGTAC